CCAAGAAAGGTGATCCAACTGAATGTGGAAATTATCAAACAATATCATTAATATCACACACAACTAAAATTTTGCTGAAGATCATTCAAAAGTGGCTGCAGAAGTATATCAACAGGGAACTGCCAAAAATTTAAGTCGGATTCAGAAGAGGATATGGAACCAGGGATCTCATTGCTGATGTCAGATGGATCCTTGCTAAAAGCAGAGAATACCAGAAAGATGTTTACCTGTTTTATTGACTACGCAAAGGCACTCGACTATGTGGATCGTAACAAATTATGGATAATATTGTGAAGAATGGGAATTCCACAACACTTAATTGTGCTCATAAGGAACCTGTACATAGATAAAGAGGCAGTAAAACAAAGGGATACTACATGGTTTAAGGTCAGGAAAGGTGTGCGTGAGGGCTGTATCCCTTCACCATACCTATTCAATCTGTATGCTGAGCAAATAATCCGAGAAGCTGGGGCATCAAGACTGGAGGAAGACTCATTAACTACCTGTGTTATGCTGATGACACAACCTTGCTTGCTGAAAGTGAAGAGGACTTGAAGCACTTACTGATGAACATTAAAGACCACAGTCTTCAGTATGGATTACACCTCAACATAAAGAAAACAAAAATCCTCACAACTGGATCAATAAGCAACATCACAATAAATGGAGAAAAGACTGAACTTGTCAGGGATTCCACTTCACTTGGATCCACAATCAACATCCATGGAAGCAGCAGTCAATAAATCCAAAGATGCATGGCATCGGGCAAATCTGTTGCAAGAGACCTCTTTAAAGTGTTGGAAAGCAAAGATGTCACCTTGAAGACTAAGGTGTGACTGACCCAAGCCATGGTGTTTTAAACCACTTCCTATGCATGAGAAAGCTGGACAATAAGGAAGACCAAAGAATTGATGCCTTTGAATTGTGGTGTTGATGAAGAATATTGAATATTGTATGGACTGCTAAAAGAACCAACAAATCCATCTTGAAAGAAGTACAACCAGAATGCTCCTTAGAAGCAAAGATGGTGAGAGTACGTCTTACATACTTTGGACATGTTGTCAGGAGGCATCAGTCCCTAGAGAAGGACACCATGCCTGGTAAAGTAGAGGGTCAGAGGAGAGGAAGACCTTCAACGAGATGGACTGACACAGTGGCTGCAACAATGGGCTCAAGCATAGCAACAACTGTGAGGATGGCACAGGATGGGACAGTGTTTAATTCTGTTGTACACAGGGTCACTATGAGTCGGAACTGACTCAACGGCACCTAAGAACTAACAACATCATCTTTAAGACCTATATTACTATGGGGAAAAAAATGGTTTAGAATAATTTAGTCTACAACCTATGTGTAAAATGGGAGAAAATAAGAATATATATTCATTTTGTTACCATATGCATAAAAAAACTCTTCAAAGATTTCTAAGAAGCTACTAATTACAGTTTTTCCAGTTGCCGCTGACTCCAACTCATGGAGACCTAACGTGTGTCAGAGTAGAGCTGTGCTCCATAGGGCTTTCAATGGCTCATTTTTTTAGAAGCAGACTGCCAGGCCTTTCTTCCTCTGGGTAGACTCAAACCTCTAACCTTTGGTTAGCAGCTGAGCTCAGTAACCATTTGCCCCACCCAAGGATTCTAAAAAACTAACAATAGTGATTACTTATTTTGTGGAGAATGGCTGTGATGGGCAAGGAGGAGGGAGTTTCAGTTGTCAGTATATGTGTGAAAAATAATGAAAAATTATTATGCATATGAGTGTATTATCTATTTTTTAAACAAAAATACTGATAGCATTTATGTTCAATTATAAAACAAATGAAACTGAAGCTTACTTTCATTAAGCAAATTTAATAGAAACAAAATTTAAAAGCAGCATTAGAGGGATAAGAAAACGAGTGCTAATTTCATATATTTCTAGTAAATACAATTACAAAAGGGAATCAAAGGTGGAAATATTATTTTATCGTTGTTATTATTATCAATTAAATTATTAAATCCAACGTAAATACTTTGACCCTACTTCCTATTCATTTTTTTATCCTACTAATTCTGCTGTTGTTGTTAGGTGCCATCAAGTCAGTTCCAAATCATAGTGACCCCATGTACAACAGAACCAAACACTGACGGGTCCTGTGCCATCCTCACAATCATCGCTATGTTTGCGCCCACTGTTGCAGCAACTGTGTCAATCCACCGCATTGTAGGTCTTCCTCTTTTTCACTGACCCTCTACTTTACCATCAGCCCTATGTCCCGATAATGTTCTTCTCCAGAGAATGGTTCCTCCTGATAACATGTCCAAAGTACGTGAGACAGAGTCTCACCACCCTTGCTTCTAAGGAGCATTCTGGCTGTACTTCTTCCAAGACAGATTTGTTCATTTTTCTGACAGTCCGTGGTATATTTAATATTCTTCAACAACACCATAATTGCTCCAATTGATTACTTCTGATCATATAATTCAAGAAAACTTAATTCCTGGTTAACTTTTCTTCTGTTTCCCATTGAGACTTTTGGATACAACTGGTTAGAGCAGGACTGACTCGAACTATGGTATGTACTGGAGACATACGAACAAATATATTCTTTTCTCATTTCTTATACAAATTCTTTAAAACCAGATAACAAAAGGTTTATGGACTATCTGCGAAGACAGAAATCTAGACTTGCTATAAAAAAGCATATATTAAGATGGTATTAATGAAAAATAGGATTTTATCTATTATTAAAATTAATATAAAAGATGTTGATTTCAATTTTTAGAAGAATTTCTTCTTAGTTATAACTTTAATTACTTAAGAGTTGGTATGATTTCATTAACTCTGACTTTACTTTTAATTAGCAACTCTAAAAATCTTACATATTAATTTTATTATAATTTTGTCAACAATTCCAGGTACATTACATTTACCACCTCTAGGTGGTGCAGTTATATTTAAGAAAAGCAAAAGGATATTCCTTGAGAATAAATAGAAAACAATCTTAGTGCTGTATCTTAGCTTTAAAGAATTGTGTATTATGTTTTTTAAGATTAAAAGTACGAAACATAAAAGAATAGCTTATTTCTTCTAGAAAAGGATTACACTAATTTAAACAGTTTAGCAGAACAGCTAGGAAATTCAAAAATAGATGCTTTAAACTGGACGTATTAAAAGTTTCAAACGGTACAAAATCATGTCATTAATAGAGAAGCTTATAAAATGCCTTTCCTTTGCGTTTTGTGTTTCAATTAGTTTGCCCCACTTTTTCTAGTTAACTACTGCATAAAACTCTAGACATGCTTTATCTATGTAATTTCTTTTTCATGACTTCATAGTTTTAGATTATTTTACATTCAAAACCTAAATGAGAAAACAGTTTCAACCTGAGGGTGAAAATATTTCATATAGCATATAACCAGTTGCCATCCAGTTGCTTCTGACTCCTGGCGACCCCACGTGTGTCAGAGAAGAATTGTGTTCCATACAGTTTCAGTGGCTGATCCTTCAGAAGTAAATCACCAGGACTTCCTTCTGAGGCCCTCTGGGTGGAGTGAATTTCCAACCTTTCAGTTAGCAGCCAAGCATGTTTACTGTGTGTGCTACTCAGGGAGTTCTCGTACAGCATCCTTCCATTTAAAACGTGAATGAACACAAAATAATCAAAAGTGTGTGAACTTACAGGAAGCCAATCCATACTTACAGAAATCAGACACCTTCTATTTGTGAAAAGAATCCTAAAATATCAACACTAATTTTACACCCAAAAGAGTAAGAGACTTATTCAAACACAGCTGAGTCTAACCAGTGTAGAATTCACCCATTGTCAGTCCAGCCAAATAACAAACATGCTCAAATATGTGACATCCAAATGTTCCATGGATGTCACTGAAAAGATGATCCATATGTGTTACTAAATAATCTATTTACTCTTCTGCCTGCTGGACCGGCGTGCTGAGTAAGGCATACCAAGTTAAGGAGCAAAGAGAAAACCAAAAAAGGGCTGAGGAAACTTTTATTATAATTTTGTGTGCTTCAAGGTTCTTTCTAATGGTAAATGAAAACGAAAATCCACAAAAAGTAAAATATACCATGTTTTGAGATTATCGAATACTTTGATAAAATATTCTCTAGAGAACAGATTCAGAGCTGGAGTCAGAAAGGAAAACACAGGCGTCCTCACTCGTAGGCTAGCCTCAAACCACTTCTGGGAAATGCCTTTCAGAAATCTGACATTAATGTTTAAGATCAATTTATTAATCTCATCAGTAATTCCTCTCTCTAAACACATGTATACGTACTTCATGATGTATCTCATAATAATGATATAAAATAAAAACTAGCATGGTTAGTTTCCTAATTATGTACACAGGAATCAGATTCATTTAAATATTTCATTAATAAAAAGATATGTGCCTGTACGTTAGTAACTAGATACTTTACAAAAATAGTAACAGGCATTAATAATGGTAAATAACAGAAAACAACATTAGATTGACAGGCATTAAAATTAAGAAAACATTATTCTTAGCAATACTATCACTTGGGGTGACTAAATGGAAATTATCACCATGAGTCCAAATTTAAAAGGAGTCTAATTTATGACATGTGGTGGGAAAAGACACTAGATGGCAAAGTAGGAAAATCCCCACTCTCCACCGTGCATCTAGGCAAATCACTCTTTCTGGCTTGAGAGAGTTGGACTGACTAAACCCCAAGATCTCTCCAAGTTTAAGAACTTCAAAGCCCACCTGGAACTGATTCATTTACAATGTAGAGTGAAAATTCCTACATGAAAATTCCATCCCATACATTTCACTTGGTAGTAAATTCAATTTCCCTTTAAAATCAGAGTTACACTAAGCATCGTCTTGTACATAATTAAAGGGAGCAATTTATATTAAAAGTTAAAAAAAAAAAATTCTGAGCTTAATTATGCGTAGGAAAATAATCAAATAATTATGCATAGAGAAAAACGTCGACTACTCAGTGTTTATGCATAAAGTTAACAACGGCCGTACCATTAAAACCCCATAGTTACTAAGGGAGTAGCACTGAATTGTAGTGATATTTTCATCTGAGTAGAGTATATGGCACCCATCTGACTTCCAGCCTCCCTGTCCGTTCAGCAAATCGAAATCCCACTGGGCTGCGACAGCATCTGCTCCGTGTGCGGTTCGACGCAGAGTCACATTAACAGGAATGTGGTGGGTATCTACATTCACACCATCTGGAAAACATAGAAAATAAAAATATTTCTGAAACAAACGTCATAAACAATTAAACATCAACTTATACACTAATGGATACTCTGCAACAGCTTTTTCCACTAGTGGCTCATTAAAGCGAAAAAGAACAAAAATAAGCATTTTTTTGGACCAGTGAATTATAAAGTCACATAGTCCAGTAACTACAGGATAACATATGTCACAGACAAACCTATTTTAGTGAGAATCACAGGGGTAACCACAGTGCGTCGTTTTCCATCATCAGCCAAATTTGTCGAATTTCCAGTTGCTGGAAAAAGCTTCCCATTGCGGAATGCAATGAGTTGGAGCTTGTATAGAGAGTCATCGGTTGGTCTGACTTCTCTTTTTTGTTTTGGTGAGAAAAGGGAAGGAGGAAGCTGAATAGAAGCCTCCACAATAGTATTCTGAAAGCAACAACAAAACAAAGGTTGCTACATTAATATGTATAAGCCAGAAAGAATATTTTAGATATTATTATACATTTTCTAATAATAATCTGAACACATTCTTTTAAAAAGCCTATATACACAAAATGTAATAGTTAAAACACAAAATTTAATGGTTAAAACAATTATCAGTGAAGCAAAATGTCTGAGCACCATATAACAGCCATAGACTGAAAGAAGCATAAAATAAAAAGAAATGCACACTCTACTTCAAAGAGTTGAAGTAAACCAGGAATTATTTCAAACGATGAAGTTAATTTTTCCCTGACAGGATATACTGCTGAAGCAGGTAACATTAAAACAGATCACGGATCTCAGTGATCATTCTGTATGTCAATTTTACAATGACAATATAAGGTAAATGAGCACAAATGTAGCGTACCACAAATATGAGCATAATTAATATAAAGCTATTGAGCTTTGAGGTGATTTATGATAGATTCAAAACACAATAGCAAAGAAAGAAAAAGAATATGCAAACAAAATAGAAGTTTAGATTCAACAAACTCCTATTTTAACAGAAGTTTCCCTAAGGCTAAAAAACACATTAAGAAAAGAAAGAAGTCAATGTTTCACTACAGAAAAAGATAACGACCATAAACAAGTGAAAATGCTGGCTGGCTAGCAAACATTTTTCAGATTTCTTTATTAGGAAAGTTTATGTTATACATTATCCTGCATTCAATTAAAAAAAAATTTACACCAAGGAGGCAAATAATTAACTAAAAAATTTCTATCTGAAGAACTTATCACAAAGTTTCCTGCCCACCAACCTCTCTCCCTCCAATCCAACCTTGATCTGGCCAACAGAATTTCCCCTTAAACAAATTTAATCATGTTATTCCAGTTTAGATAGCTCCTTGGTTCTCCAATGTTTAGAGAATTCTACCCCAAAATCATACAACTTGGCTAAAAGTTACTTCTCAAATGCACCTTCTAATATTCACTATACAGGTTACAACCTGTAACCAACCACATGCACTTATTGATTTTTGAGATTTCCTATTATCTTTTGGGGGGCAGTGGTGGTTCAGTGGTAGAATTATTTCCTTCCATGCAGAAGATCTGGGTTCGATCAAGACTGATGCGCCTCACATGCAGCCATCACCATTTGCTGTCAGTGGAGGCTTGGTTGTGTTTTGCTATGATGCTGAACAGATTTCAAAAGAGCTTCCAGAACAACATGAACTAGGAAGAAAGGCCTGGCAATCTACTTCCAAAAATCAGTCAGTGAAAACCCTATGGATCACAATGGTCCACAACTGCTCATGGGGATGGCGCAGGACTGTTGGCAGCAGTGCGCTGCATTGTGTGTGGGATCCTTGTGAGTCAGGGTCAGCTCGACAGTAGCTATCATCTTTTTATGCCTCTGTGCAGCTGCATGTGCCATATCCCTAGCCAAAATGCTCCACTATTTTTTGTCAAAGGGCCCTGGTGGCACAGTGATTAAATGCTCAGCTGCTAACTGAAAGGTTCGCAGTTTAAACCCTCCAGCCGTTCTGTAGGAAAAAGATGTGGCAGCCTGCTCCTGTAAAGATTACAGCCTTGGAAACTTTATGGGGCAGTTCTACTATGTACTATCGGATCACTATGAGTTGGAATCAACTCCACGGCAATGGGTTTGATATGGTTTTGGGGTTTCAGTATACCACCTTTAGTTACTTTCTCCCTCTTGTGGACACACGCAGCACTGCACACGTAACTATCAATACTTGCAGCCTCAGTGTGACTCACTGTCTGCTCTTCTATCTATACACTATGAAGGGTTTTGACTGCAGACTATCCCACTTTTCTCATTTATTTTTTGGACTCCCCATGAACAGTTCCTGGTACTTGTATTTGATAGAAATAGCTCAATGTTTACGAAATTAATAAAAGTTGAGATCACTGTTTATTAAAAAAAAAAAGGAGATTCTTTTTAAGCAAATGATTGGCTTCAGAATTATGTTTTACTACTGTATTTCCAGTGCTTAGAACAATGTGGAACACTGTAGATATCCATAAATAGTTGTTGAATGAAAGTATTTTAGGAATCTGAATACTGGCAGTTTGAATATTACTTTAAAATCGAAGGTGACAATATTTAGAAGAAACATTTTCACCTAAAAAAATGCACACGGAGGTTTCTATTCTCACTCACAAATGCAACCTGACAGGAAATTTCTATTAAATACATGAATTTCTCTTAAGTTTATAATGACGCATGCAAAGAACGGAAAAGCCTAACAGACGGATTAAAGTTCAAAATCTTGATAAAGCTTTATAAAATACACTTAAAAAAAAAAACTTAGGTACTATTATACGATCCAGCAATCCCACTTCTTGGAATATATCCTAGAGAATTAACAGCTGTGACACAAACAGATATATGCACACCCATGTTCACTGCAGCACTGTTCACAATAGCAAAAAGACGGAAACAACCTAGGTGCCCATCAACGGATGAATGGATAAACAAATTATGGTATATTCACACAATGGAATACTACGCAACGATAAAGAACAATGATGAATCCATGAAACATCTTATAACATGGAGGAAACTGGAAGGTATTACACTGAGTGAATTTAGCCAGTTGCAAAAGGACAAATATTGTATAAGGCCACTATTATAAGAATGCAAGAAAAGGTTTAAACACAGAAGGCAACATTCTTTGATGGTTACAAGGGTAGGGACGGAGGGAGGGAGAGGGTTATTCACTAACTGGAAAGTAGACAAAAATTACCTCAGGTGAAGGGAAGGACACAGAGGAAGCTAACACGACTGGACTAAACCAAAGCTAAGAAGTTTCCTGAATACAACCAAACACTTCGAGGGACAGAGTAGCAGGGGCTGGGGACCATGCTTTCAGGGGACATCTAGGTCAACTGGCATAACAAAGTTTTTTAAGAAAATGTTCTGCATCCTACTTTGGTGAGTGGCATCTGGGGTCTTAAAAGCTAGACAGCGGCCATCTAAGATGCATCAATCGGTCCCAACCCACCTGAAGCAAAGGAGAATGAAGAACACCATGGACACAAGGAGTATTAGCCCAAGAGATAGAAAGGGCCACATAAACCAGAGCCTGCATTGTCCTGAGAACAGAAGAACTAGACAGTGCCCGGCTACTACAATGAGCACCCTGACAGGGAACACAACAGAGAGTCCCTGACAGAGCAGGAGAAAAGTGAGGTGCAGAACTCAAATTCTATTAAACATACCAGACTTAATGGTCTGATTGAGACGGGAGGAACCCTGGAAGACGTGGCCCCTGGGCTGTTAGCCCAAAACTAAAACCATTCCCGAGGCCAACTTTTCAGACAAAGATTAGACTGGACTATAAGATATAAAATGATAGTCATGAAGAGTGTGCTTCTTAGCTCAAGTAGATACATGAGACTAAATGGGCAGCTCCTGTCCAGAGGCGAGATGAGAAAGCAGAGAGGGTCAGGAGCTGGTTGAATGGACATGGGAAATCCGAGGTGGAAAGGAAGAGTGTATAGAGAGAGCAAGTAGGGTCACCAAACAATGTATGTATAAATTTTTGTATGAGAGACTAACCTGAATTGTAAACTTTCACTTAAGGCACAGCAACAACAAAAAAAAGGCAAGGAAAGAAAAATACTTAGGTACTATAAAATTCATAGGATAATTTTGTTGTGGACACAAAATGATTTGAAAAACAGAGTATAGCGCTCTCGAAAAGGGAGAGTATTGTTGTTGTCAGTTGCCATCACATCGATCCCACGTCACGCGACTCCACGTGTGCAGAGTAGAACTGCTCCATTGGGTTTTCAAGGCTGTGACCTTTCAGAAGGAGATCGCAGGTCAGTCTTCAGGGGTTCCTCCGGGTGGGTATGAACTGTCTTCCAACTACCCTTCAGCTGGCAGTTGAGGGCTTACCCGTTTGTGCCACCCAGGGACTCCTAAGAGAGTATTACTAAGGATAAATCAAGAATTGCTTTAAGAAAGTATACCAAACATTTTCACAAAGACAGCTAAAAAAAAAGAAATGGCACCTATAAATTCAAAATGTCAAAAAAGGTCTCCTGTACAAGTTGAAACTTGTAAAAGTAAACAAAGAAAAAACAAAACAGAAGAAGTCAGGCACATGGATACATCATGAGAGATGAGAGCTACAAACTAAACCATGGCTTCCAAAATATACTTCAAAGTCATTTCCCAATAAAGAAAAGCACCACATAATAACTATAGGTTCCTGGGATAGAAGGGGGTGGCCTAGAGGCATTGGAAAGGCAAACTTCACCTGTATCAATAATGTTTAGATTTTAAAGAAACAGTATAATATATATTTAATTTCTTTAAATGAAGCATTGATCATTATTTATAGAGAAAGTATAAATCTAATTTTAAAAGATGACCTCAGAACACTTATTTAATTTGTTAAATTTATCATGATTATATCTTTCTGCCACTTGGCTTAAAGGCAGTGAACACAAATTTATGATTTCATTTAACCATATATTTATTTTAAAGTGTACTGATTATAGTAATTGAAATAGATGTAAACACATGAGTTATACTTAATAAATTAGGGGAAAAAACTCTTTTAAAATCTTTTGGGAAACATGTTTTTGGTTTCAAATTTTTATTATTAAAAGGTCATATCCATGAGAAGAACATGGGGTCTGAAACAAGAAACCCACACTCAGCTCCCAGCTTCACCATTTACCTGCTGGTTCACACTGCACAATAGTGTTTAACCTCTCTGAACCGCATATGTAAATTGCAAGCTAATGATTCTTCTAAGGAGCCCTGATGGTGCAAACCGTTAAGTGCCCTTGGCTGCTAACTGAAAGGTTGGAGGCTCAAACCCACCCAACAGCTCCATGGGAGAAAGAGCTGGTGACCTGCTCTCATAAAGATTACAGCCTAGAAAACCTATGAGGCAGTTCTGCTCTGTCATATGGGGTTGCTGTAAGTCAGAATCAACTTGATGGCAGCCAACAAAAACAACAATGATCTTTCCAACAAATGGCCGAGAGAACCAAATGGAATCGTGACCATGGCAAGCACAAAATGCTACGGAACTGTGAGCGGTATTTTTATTATTATTACTGAACCAGTGTGGAAAACGATTACTGCAGCGAGAGGAAATAACTTAAAGTAACTGACCTACCAACAATAATGTAGAATTCCATCATGTTGTGATTTGGACAATTCCATTCTAGTATTCAATTTAATACTAAAAATTTATAAAGTGTGAACATACGTGAAATGAATGTTGTCACAGGGCTCTTATTTCATCTGCTAAATTCATGTCTATTTCTCTATTCATAATGACCTTAAACCAAGAAGAAAATGATAAGTAGTATGATGGATGTTAACTCAAATACTTCCACTAGATGTTAACATATTTTCTTACGATACAATTTGGACTTCTTCCACCATGTAAGTAATAAATTAGAATTATCAAAAACTTTAATTGTGTTATAGTCTATAGAACTCTAGCACAAAAATTAATAAAATACTAATTTATCCATGTTTTCTTTCCTATCTATTGACTCGATTTTAAACATAGATATTATGATATACTCTATTTTCGTGAGTATAATTAGTTACTTACTGTATACCTTTTTTTTTTCCTCAGTGCTGAAAATTAACAGATTATGTTTGCCTTGAGAATTAATTTATGAACTGACTTGCTTTGCTAATTAAGGTTGGCTGTTAATTTTCTTCAACAACATTGACTGGATGTTTACTCTGAGCACAGTGCTGTGCACAGCCTAGAGGCATAGAATGAAATAAGCTGTGGCCCCTGCCCTCAAAAATGCACAATCTAACAAGGCAGACACAACAACAACAAAAGAGCAATAATAATACGAGCTAACATTCATTGAGCACTTGCTCTGTCCCAGGCACTGTTGTAAGTATCTACATAATTACCTCATTTAATTCGCTCAATAACCCTTTGAGCGAAGTTCCATATCATGGCTCGTACATAACAGATGAACTGAAATTCAGAGAGGTTAAGTATTTGTTCAAATTTGCACAGCTGTTAAATGGAGGACCAGAACATGAAGCCAGGCTGTCTGGCTATAGGGACCACACTGTAAGCCACCATATCATAGAGCCTCTCACTATAACTCAACTCACCATTACCAAAACTTAGAGTGGCCCTGAAGAATGAACAAAGCTCTATGGGAGTAGCAGGCAGTGACTGAATTCTGTCTGAGGAGAAGACAGCATCTTAGAGGGAGAATAGCAGAGATTTCACAATGCAGGGATGAAACTGAGGGTACAAAAAGGACAGAAATGAAAGTAGGAAGCATACAGAGGCAAAACAATAGGTCTGGAAATTGAAAAGACTTCAGCTGGGTCTAGGTACAAGATGTCTGGCATGTGGAAAATATGGGATATGTGGAGAAAAATTAATTTCTAAAATCTAGTCAGCTAAATTTTAAGTAACCAGTTCTTTCTGGCTATATTAGAGCTAAACTCAAAACACCAGCTAATTTCTAAAAGCTCTCAGTAGTTTATTGGAAACAAATACTATTTTGTTATGCAAATGTATTTGAAGTATGGTACCAACAGCGAAAGGAAGCACTCTGTTGAGTTGGTTTTACTGGTGCTGTAAGAGTTAGATGCCACGCGACTCCACCTCCTCCTACTGGCCAACCGACTGAAGCCACGCACTGAATTCATCCATGACTCAGGCACTATCTCCACCCTCAAGGAATCTGAAGTCCAGAGTGGGAGATCATAAAAACTAGCATGGCTCCCATGTGCAAGGTGCCATGACAGAGATGCACAGAGTATTGTGGGAAAAGTGAGGAGAATTAAAGGAGATGAGGGTGGGAAAGGAAAGGACTGGATGGTATTAGGTAAGATATCCTGGGGATGACACTTCTGCCGGGCCTTAACATATAATTAAGGAGCTGGAGAGAAGGGGGTGGAGGACATTTTAGTAGAAGAATTAGCATGAGTCTGGCCTAAGAATGGCCAAGTTGTCAGGAGAGGCACCAACGGAAATCTGCTGTTACTGGACAAAAGTGAGAAGAAGTAAGGGAAGGCATGAGGTGAGAGAAGAAGAGGGAAGAAGCCTAATGATGAAGCTATGTGAAGGACAGTGGGGAGACAGAAATGTTTTAATGGGGAGATTACAACCTGAAATGGCACAAGCACTGACAATCAAAACAGCCTCTGCAGAAGGGAAGGCTCCTAGCGGCCCTCTGCTCTGCCAAGGATCAGCCCTTCAGTGGAGATGGTGATAAGGTCTGGCAGTATCCCAGCAGGAGAACCAGTGGGGCTGGGGGAGCACTGAGAGCTTGGGCAGCAGCAATTTGCTAAACAGTAAGGAAGTATTTCAATATTGTCCTAACTGGCATGGCTGTATTGGTGCATGGTGACTGACTGTTCTAGGTGGTGGTGGTGGTGTTAGGTGCCATTGAGTCACTTCCAACTCACAGCAACCATCTGTACAACAGAATGAAACACTGCCCAGTCCTGCTCCATCCTCACAACAGTTGCTGTGTTTGAGCCCACTGTTGCAGCCACCACGTCAATCCATCTCGTTGACAGTCTCTCTTTCGCTGACCCTCTGCTTTACCAAGCATGGTGTTCTTCGCCAGAGACTGTTCTCTCCTGATAACATGTCCAAAGTATGTGAGACAAAGTCTTGCCATCCTCTCTTCTAAGGAGCATTCTGGCTGTACATCTCCCAAGACAGATTTGTTCATTCTTCTGGTAGTCGTAGGCAGACCAGGCTATATGTTGTTGTTGTTAGCTGCTACAGATTGGGTCCCTGGCTCATGGCAACCCCATGCAAAATGCAACAAAATGCTGCCTAGTACTGCACCATCCCCCTCCTCATGATCGGCTACAAATCAGACCATTGTGATCCATGGGGTTTTCATTGGCTGATTTTTGGAAGATGATGGCCAGGTTTTTCTCCCTGTTTTAGTTTGGAAGCTCCGCTGAAACCTGTTCAACATCATAGCAACACACAAGCCTCTACTGACAGATCAGTGGTAGCTGCACATGAGGTGCACTGGCCAAGAATTAAACCTGGGTCTCATGCATGGAAGGAGAGAATCTGCCACGGAACCACCACTGCTTCACTAAGCTATGAGATAGATGACTTTTAAGGGACAGCCTAGAGACACAGAGACTAATTAGGAGGTTACAAAGGGTTGGGCAATATAGGAGGGGAATCCAAAGCAGGATGTGGCAGTAGTACAAAAAGATAGACTTAAAAATAAGAAACCTAAGAAGCAAATTGAGCAAGTCGCCTCTTGCTAACAACGGCCTTTTTACAGTTTTAACTTTATATGCCAGCATATCCTCCCATTTAAAGGATGTTTAAGTTGTCGAGTTATTGAATTGAAAGGAAAAAAAAAAAAAACCGCAAACAGAAAGAGTAAAAATTGTCCTCAGTATAAAGTTAGAAATATAAAAGTTCTATATTAAACAGCTAAAGCACCCTTACATTTTGTGCTGCTGACATTTAAATTTTTAGTTATTTTTGTGTCACTAAAGATGTGTTCCTTTTTCACTCTAATCATGTCCATCAGGAAGCATGAATAGTAGTGTATACAGTCCTTGCTCTCTGGCCATAGGATGATTTTACAAAGATAGAACAGTACAAAATTCACAAATCTGAGGGTGATCATTTAAAGTTTTCTACTTTGGGCAGGTAGAAACTCTCCTTACCCAGAGGGGTAGACTGTGAAATTGATGAAATGGAGTGTTTGATCATTTTTAATCCCTATCTACCCACTGTGATCATCTAAGACAAAAAGGTTCATCAATTTGAAGTGCCCCTCAACCACGTTTCTCTCTCACAGGCTTGTGTGTGTTGTTATTTCTATGTCTTTTGTGGTGTGTTTTTTACGAGTAAAAGACACAATAAGGAAAGCTGGGCTGGACTACAACATGACTTGGGCCACCAAGTATTCTATCAGAGCCAAAAGTAACAAATAAATCTTGCCAATTTTCCACTGAATACACGGTATTAAGTAAACATATTATCATTAGACATTCTGACCTAGTCGCAGTGGGGGACGATGGAATATTTCTAAATTTAACCCACTGGCTCTCTTTATGGAAGTCACCAGGGTAAAGTATGACAAATACACCACTTCCTCATTCATCCATTCATTCGTATTTATTGAGTGCCCAAAGAGTACCCAAACAGCTAACACCTATTTGATAAATTATATCTGTTAAAGCCAGAAACAAAGACAGTACTGTGTAGTTAAAAAACCGCAGAGAATACAATCACACAAGCCCACAGAAAGCTAAATGAACAAAATGTGGTTCCATTAGGGTGTTGGAGTTATGTCGTGACTGTTTGCTGCAATGTAGTTTAACTAAACACTCCCAAACCCCGAATTTTAAAAATACTTTTTTACTGTAATAAAACACACATTAAAAAAAAAAAAAACTGCCACATTTTCACTCCTTTACCAAAAGTCTTGATATACAGCTTGTTTGATAAAAAGCCCAGTCTCAGGGCCGACTTCTCCATTAAAGCCAGTGGGCATAGTACCCAGGGCCCACAATACTTTCAAGAACTCACAGAAATGTTTTCTTTTAAAATCAGACGCAAATAATAAATAAATAAACTTACAGGTCAAACAATGTGTTCTAATATACAATAACTTATTCATTTTTATACCAAGAGTCATAAGATATAATTCTTAATATTTCTTTTTATTAAGAAAGGGGCTCAACCCAGGCAAAAAAGGCCTAGGGCCCATGAAAGTCACAACGTGGCCCTTCCCGGTCTGAGTGTTATTTGAAAAAACAGTAACAAACAACTCCCAAAATTTTCAGTAAGGCTATTTTGCAAAAGCAAAACATTCTGAGCATTCTAACCTAACTGTAAAGACGCTAAGATTATTATAAGAGATAGCATACCTTCAGTGCCAGACTCGAAAATGTATTTGAAATATTGCACTTGAAGCTCAGCTGCTTATCTAGGTTTCCGTCTGGGTCTCGCCTCCCATAGTCAGACAGTCCTGTCCGGTCAGAGGTTGCCACTTTCTGGAACACGGTACACATCATCCCAGTGAAGCCAGCAGCCTTGATGACATAAGCTTCCAGAGCAATGTTGGGTGAAGACTTCAAAAGTCAATCAAACAGAAGTTACAAAAGATTTATTGTACGGGGGAAAGCATTTTCAAAGGGTTTGCAAACAGAAAACACTGTACATAGCCCACAACCAAAAGCCCAGGTTTTTAGTGAACAAAAACACTGTGTAGACTACTAGAAGAATAAAGGAAGAGCTTGACCTGAGAGGGATGTCTTAAATGGAAGGCGGACTAATGAAGAGGAAAAGAACAAGTATGAAAGCATGGAAGATAAGGTATACATCAGAAGTCAATCAAAAATAATTTGAAGCATCGGATGTGAAAGTACAAGCTAAAAATAGAAAGTTCCTTATTAAAAAAAAAAAACAGCTAAAGAAATCAGTGGGCTGATATGATCATACTGCAGGAGGAAACGAAAGGTAAGTATTAAAAAAAAAATCAAACTCGTAGCCATCGAGCCGATTCTGACTCAAAACGACCCTACAGGACAGAGTAGAACTGCCTCATAGGGCCTCCAAGGATGTAAATCTTTACAGAAGCAGACTGCCACATCTTTCTCCCCGGAAATGATTGGTGGGTCCAAACTGCTGACCTCTGAGTTAACAGCCGAGCGCTTAACCACTGCGCCACCAGGGCTCCTTAAGGTAAGTATCAGTTTAGGAAACACACTTAAAAATCACCTTGTTCAACGCTTCATGCCATCGGTATGCCATCTCCCTGCAACGTTTTCCTTTTTCAGGGAGACAAAGTTAACTATTTGCATTAAGTTTTGATGATAAAAACGTTACTCAGACTCACTCCAAACCTGTTTCTTCAGAAAAGGAAGGGAGGTGCTAGGTCAAACAGTAAGCAAAGACTTAAAAAGCAAGTTAGGTAGGAAAAATCACCTGCAAAAGATGGCACCTGCCCCAAAAGTTTTAGAGGAATTCAAGAATGCAACTGAATTTATGGGGTCTGTCAAAATTTACAGCCTGTCAATACAAACGGCTGCCATGCCCTCATACTGGAGTGCTGCCAACATCACTCCCATCCGTCAGGACATGCCAGAGAGGGCATGAGAAGTAGCAAGCGGATGAGTCTCACTTCCACATCCAGCAAGGTGACAGAATTTACCGTAAATTCTAGGAAGGACAACATGGCTTCTCTTTCTTTTCTTTAAGGATGATTAACTAGACACCTACCATGCAGGCAAGGCACCACTCCAAGTACCATGTACTAGCAAAGTTTTCTGTTATAAAACATGGGGCTTTAATGCAAGGTGTTTAGAATCTATTAGGAAGATAAGATACAAATCAAAAAATATTAAAGGTAAGATAGAATTTGGAAAGCACCATATACATGGGAGAAAATAACTGGTGGCTCCCAAAATCTTCAATGACCTTCAACGAGATGGACTGACACAGTGGCTGCAACAATGGGCTCAAGCATAAAGGATGGCACAGGACGGGGTGACGTTTCGTTCTGCTGTACGTACAGTCACTATGAGTTGGAACTGACTCGACGGCACCCAACAACAACAAAATTTTCAATACTGAGGAATCTTTGCATTAGCTTTTGACTCATGGATTACACATTGTGAAAAACATTATTAATTAAATTACATTTATTGACCAATTACTCCGTATTCCAAATTTTTACTAATCAAAGACAGATACACATAACCGCTAGGGCTTCTTATAAATAGCAATACTCATTACAAACACAAATACATGAAACTTCAGTAAAAAGAAAGAAATCTGTTATTTTGAGGTGTCCTTGAAGCCGTATCGTCTTTATTCATGATAAGTAAATGTGTGACTTCTTAGAACCTTTCTGACATGCTGAAATGGTGTTCGGATGCTATGATCCTTATTGTACTCTGGAGCTCTAAGAAGTATCAGTTAGGTTCAAAGGAAGAAAGGAGTTATTTGGGCTGAGTAATAAGCAAGGTTAAAGGATGGAACTTTAAATGGACCTGAACGACCATGGAAGGCCAAGTGTAGGCATCAAAATGGCAGGCTGGTCTACTAGTTAAGCTCATGTATTTGAGACAGAAGTCACCCTCACCTATGGTGTAAAGACAGGAGCAATACCAGGCATCTGTTTTATTTATTATTCAGGAACACGATCCTGAACTTAACTGACTAAAAGAAACAATAAAACACGGTCCCAGAAATCAATGGAAAAACAGTAATCTTGAATTGTATAAAAATCATAAGAGGAAGTATAGAATATTATATAAGTTACGACCAAATAATTAGGAAATTAAAAACATGGATCAGACTAAGAGAGGTAAGGGAATTAACATATTACTTATCACATTTTTTAGACAAAAACTAAGCAGTACACCAAGAAATTTAGCACCGTTCAATTTAGCATAAATAAAATTTTGTTGTTGTTGTTAGTTGCCATTGAGTTCATTCTGACTCATGGCAATCCAAAGTGTACAGAGTAGAATATAGGGTTTTCAAGGCAGACACCTTTTGGAAGCACACTGCCAGGCCTTACTTCCAAGGCATCTCTGGGTAGGTCTGAACTGCCAACCTTTCAGCTAGTGCTTGAGTGTTCAACCATTTGCTCCACCCAAGTACTCCTAAATAAAATTTAATACTATTTAATTCAGTGATTATTAAATATAATTAAGTCATTATCCCAAGAGTGGACTGACTGAACATGCCAACAGATTCATGAAGAGCTGGGGGGCATGCCAGTTCCCTTCTGAGATTGCAGCCTGAGCAAGCAATCAGGCGCTCTCTCAACATCCTTCCAGACCCAGAGTATCAACCAGGATGAACCATGGGTATACACCAGTATGGTGATTCTAGTGTTCTTCTTTTCATTATAGAAGGCAATTCAATGGATGAGCATTTCAATGGTGAGAACCATTCCAATTACATATTAAAAGAATATTTTCCAGTTACCATGAAAACAGATTACTCAAAATCAAAATTAACTTTTAAAATGTTTTAAAAAAGGAAATTGTGTAATAATCAGCAGTAAGAGAAAATTATCTACCCCATAATGGGGAAGAGATGTATCTCTTTTGGGTTACAGCTGCTTTCAATGAATTTTTTCCTCGGAATTCTCTTACGATAGAACACTTACTGTTGAATAAACATGAGCACCATTTGCTAGTCGGTATGTTGCAATTCGCTGTAGACACTGAACAATTCTACTACAGGCTTTGGCTTCCCTCTGTGCCAGCCACAGGACACGCTCATCAGCCAACATGATGTTACTTGCAATGTCAACCATCACATCACCAAGCTAGCAGGCATGGGGGAGAAAAAAGAAAGACCTTTAAAACCAACATAAGCTGTTTTATATCATCAGACACCTAATGAGACACTGCGTTTGGCCTTCAGTCTAAATTTTCACAACAGATACTTTGCTTCTCATTAAAATGTCTTCAGATGTGAATGCCACATTCATTTATGATCATTTGGTAATATTTAGTATCAAAACAGTATATTTAAGTAACCACCAAATCACTGGTGAAAAGATCGATACATGATATCTAAAACTGAGGAAAGGAAGGCAATTAAATTAATAATGGGGAAAGAAAAGATGTCAGATCATACCAAAATGAAAAGATCTCAACTAAGCCTGGAAATCAAAAATTGCTACCATAGATATCATTTTTTTTTTAATGCAGAGATGAACATTTACCTCTTTTGATATGGCGTTAGCTAAAAATTAAACTCCAAGTTTGATTTTAGAAATAAGAAACTGTTATGGATTGAACTGTGTCCCCCCAAAATTATGTGTCGTAAGCTGTAACCCCTATACCTGTGGTCGGAGCCCTGGTGGTGCAGTGGTTAAGAGTTCGGCTGCTAACCAAAAGGCTGACAGTCTGAATCCACCAGCCGCTCCTTGGAAACTCTATAGACAGTTCTACTCTGTCCTACAGAGTCAATATGAGTCAGAATCGACTTGAGGGCAAAGGGTTTGGTTGGTTGTTTTTTTTTTTTTTTTTTTGATCATACCTGTGATTATAATCCCCTTTGCAAATGGGTTTTCTTTGTTATGTTAATTAGGAGGTATTTGTATAGGGTGTATCTTGAGTAAATCTCTTTTGAGATATAAAAGGAGCAGATTAAGAAGCAAGAAGAAAGCAGAGACAGAGGAGGATAGATGTGAAACCACATGAAGATCATGAAGGAGCCAAGGAACAGAAGCAGAAGAGACAAGAACCTTCCCCCACAGATGACAGAGAGAGCCTTCCCCTAGAGCTGGTGCCCTGAACTCGGACTTCTAGCCTCCTAACCGTGAGAAAATACATTTGTTTGTTAAAGTCACTCACTTGTGGTATTTCTGTTATAGCAGCATTAGATAACTAAGATATAAGTATACACTCACTACCTGTTTTTTCTTCTGTATCAACATTTCCTCTGACTGGTATGTTCAAAACTTTCACATGCCCAACTACTGCAAGTTCCCCGATGTGTCGTGCCATCTCACACCGGGGTGGCCTTTGCTCATGTGGTTTCCTCTCCCTCAAATGACCTTCTTGCCTTCTCTCCCCAATTCAATGGCTTCTTCAAGACCCAGTGCCATGAAATAAATGAATCTGAATCCTAAGAGGGGCTTACTTTTCCACTGCTTGTATTATTTGTTTCATATGCCGGAATTCTTTTTACTTGCTCAATTCATAATTCCCAGATGTAAGCGTATCAGGCAGTGCCAGTGAAATGCCAATTGGCTATTATTTACTCTGACTTGCATGTCTTACATCAGAGAAACATGCTCAACAGTCCAGGGATAGCAAAGTGTTTTATGAGAGGGAGAGATCTGTGGTAGAAATAAAAACAAAAAGATTCCAAAAGTAGGATCAGAGGATAGACAAGCTGGCTGGAACTCTAATGAAGAAGTAAGCATCAAGGGCATTAAGCCCTAAAGCCAGGCCAGAAAGCCAAGGCCGCCTTAGTAGATGTCTTTTTATCATCTCAGAAGATTCCAGGCGAGGTTTTTCAACCCTGTTCTGTATCTGATATTCTCCAAGAATGAATAATTATGAGGGATGAAGCGAGTTTGGGAAAAGTTCAGTCTATCACATCCATGGTTTTCTTGAAGGAGACACATCTGTGGAATTCCATCAGATCCTAGCCCTAGAACCATGGGTTAAAGCAACTGTAGTAAATACAGGGGGTCAGAACAGGACACTTAACTTCTCAGTACCTCAGTTTCTTTATTTGCAAAATGGGGATGGTAACAGTCCTATCTTTTCTGAATGTTTTAAGTTCCAGTAAGCATAAAGCTCCTGAAACCATGCCTGGGACATGGTAAGCACTTAAAAAATGTAAGCTCTTATTATTATTATTATTTTATTGTTCCTTTTTTTGACTATTTTAACCCAAGAAAGTGGCCTCTCTTTTAAGACGACAGAAGAGCAGGATGCACTTTTTTTAAGTCTGTGTTCATACATTAGGACCAATGCCTTCAGCACAACTGCTTCTTCCTCCTATTTCACACTAAAGTATTTCACAAAACAAGTTCAATAAACTACACAAAAAATCGTTCTACTGCCTTTGTACTACCCTGACCGCAGTGTATCGCAATTATTTCCTTATCTTATTTCCAACTTCAGTGCAGGGACAATACTACTTATACTATTATTTACTGACATTTACATCTTTATTGACTAGTATAATTCAAGTAATAACTGAAATAATCTGGTTAAGTTTTTGTCTATTATTCTTGCTTATTGTTATTACAAATTTTTACAAAAAAGGAAACAGGTAAAAGAGATGAAGTGATAACGGTTATCAGAAAAGAAATTCCTATGGGCTGCAAAAACTTAAATGATAAAATACTGATTCTACTCTCAAGTGCTACACCAAAATGTATAGGGTGTTTACAGATAATCACAATGACAGCCAAACTGAAGCTATTTAATAATTTTAAAAAGTTGTAAACACGTGGACTTTATGAGGATCTGACACGAGGCCTGATCAGAAGCATCACTTCATTGGATCATCTCAACGGAAAAACTCTGATTATTATATGATCAAAGATCTATGGCTATGGCCCACTAGATAATGCCATTAACAGAATTTAACTTGAGATAATAACTCTAAAGAAAAGAAACACCTCTAAGAAGGTATATAGCTAACAAGAGTGATTGTCTTGGCTGAGAATGAGAACAAGCTATTTTTCTCATTAGTTCACTCTGAATGGCTAAGGAGTGAGAAAACAGATTTGGTGTCAAAACATTCCTTAGACCAGGTAATCATAAAATGCTCTATGCTCTGTAGCTTGGTTATGAAGTAGTTCTGAATCCATCACAGTGGCAAAAAGAACACAATAGAGATAGTGCATGAAAAATTACACTGGATTAAAAAAGTATTCCTGCAATCTGACACCCAAAGATAGTTTAAAAATTACAGTCAGCATTAGGAAGCACAGTATTTCCCCTTGATCTCATTCTCTGTGGGCCGCTCAGTCCCAAGAGTCAGAAGGGATCACACACCTGCTCCTCCACCTTTCACTGCTTAACTGTAATGATCGAACACAAACATGTATGAAATCACATTGTCAGAGATAAAATGGTACAGAAATGAAAATGTCAACTTAGCAACAATGACGTTGAATGTCATAGGTAGTAAGAGGTAGAACAGTTCAATTTCTTAACATGTACTTTTGTAATTGTGATTAAAACCATGTCAAAATCCTCTGTAAATTTAATGAATTTCTGGTATGTTATATTATTAAGTTTACAGGATAAAAAACTAAACTTGGTGATATTTAATTTTAATGTAATAAGAGTATAGCTTAACACTGAAGACAGAATATCAAGACTTGGAACTGGAACAGAACCAAAAACTGAAACCGAACAAAATCCAAATTTTTACCTGAGTGAAACCAAAACCCGAATAAAAAAAAAGTTTTTCTGAACTCGAACCAAAATTGAAAACTGTTTATTTTTTCATGTCACTATTTACGGTTCAATGATAATTTTTATGTTATAACAAGGCCATTGGACCATTTATGTTATTTGCATCTGGTGCCCATGTATGCCAAATACTTCTCTGGCACATGGCTGGCAAGGGCACAGTTAATTCCTTCGGCAGGAGACATTGCGCAGCTACAGCTACAGGTGATGATTGCTGTTCCACAAGACGATTCACAGGCCAGAGTTCACCATTTCCACTCCATGCTTGACGTCTCTCACAGTAACGTGAGCTGTGCCTACCGAAGATGTGAGAAATGCTTGGCGACGGAGAACACTCGTAGTTAGAAATCTGAAACAGCTGGTTAAACTGCATCGAGTTCTAAACAGAGCTTCATATGAACAGAAATGTGCCAGGTGAGTGTAAACATTTTAAATGTGCATTAGTCACATTTCTTAAGTGTAATATTTAAATTGAAAAAATAGAAAATAGTGTATAATTTTTTTGATGACTCTATTCTTGTATTCAATCTCAAATGTATTATCACACATTGTTTGTACTTACATGTTTAAATTTGATATTAACCTCACAAATCGAAATGTTACCAAACATTAGCAACTAATGTTCTAATAGTGATATTCCGTTATTTCAATGAAAACAACTTGACAGCATCACTATGAAGTGAGAATTTTCTTGAAACGAGAATGTTATAAAGTAGGACTTTGAGTGGAAGAAACTGGCAAGCCCTGAGAATATAAAACCGAAGTTATTCCAGTTTTTCTAATATACTGACTATAGGTACTGGCTCTAATTCATTTCTACAAGTGTATTTATACATTCTATTCTCTTTATGTTATCAAAGTCTAAGACTTGTTTTCACTGTAATGTAATATAGTGACTATAAAATATGACCTAACGTTAATATTATTTCTTATCCCTTGAATTCTAATATGGGACGAACCAGAGAAAATCCATGTTCAGAATTTTTCAAGGATGGAAAGACCGGAAATAAAAGCACATGTAAAATTTGCAACACAGATATGTCTGGAGCCCACGCAGCGAATTTAGAGAGGCACCTGAAGTAAAGCTGGAGAAGTACCTGAAGCATCACCACATGGATGAATACAACTCAGTGCAAAGCAAGAAGACACGAAGACTGACAGAAGTTCAGAAGTGTTCTGAATAAGCATCGTAAAACATCAGAATGCCTTAAGGTGAAATTAGATAAACAAACAATTGTCAATGCATGTGCTGAATTAGTTACTGTTAACAGTTGTTTGGCTGAGTTACTTGAATATTCAGGATTCTGTAAAATTTTAAATCCAATTATTGTTTCAATTGGTCAAAAATTTTTCAGTCAACTCAGAGAAAATTAGG